CCAGGCTTTCTTATCTTATCTAATCATTATTTCCTACTTTCATTTGCAGTGCGGAGATGATGGTTCTGTAAAACCATCGAACTACCTGTGAAAATTTTGTAATTAACGGATTTTTGTTGTTTGACTTCTGAATTAGTATTTATTCGGCGTTAGTGTCTTAATTAAAAAAAGATTAATATATTTTTAAATTTTTTATTTGATTTTTCTTTGCTTTTCATTTTTATTTTTTTGATATGTTTTGATTTTGTGTTAAACCCCTTTTACCACGATTGTTACATTAATATAGTTGGAATAGCCTTCATTTGACTCCAATTACTTTTAGCTTTTAAATCCTTAGTATATGTAGATAATAGATTTTTCTTTTAAGTTTTAAGGGCCCCTACCATTTGGGGCAATGACGCAAATGCAATTTTCTGTATGACGAAGTTAAGGCCCTTGAACACCTAACAACTAAATTCAATGTTTCAAAAGTTAAAATTCCAGCATTCGACTATGAAATAATAACTTCATGACCTACCCCAGTTTAGGGGCAGCAGTGAGCGGAAAATAGGAAAAGTTTCTTTGTATTCTTTAGTCTCAAACCTGAAAATTATTAAAGGCGACCCCTTAAAGGAAAGGTTTCTCCTTTTTTGCAATCTCAAATCAAAAAGCGGTGGAAGTGGAAATTAATTGTAACTATTTATTATAAAGTACTTATTTTGCATATTAATTTGTTTCTGTATAATTCGCATTATAATCGAATAATCATAGACATATTTTTCCGTCTTTCTTAATGCATCCTACGTCGACAATTCCTTTTTTATATTATTCAGTATGCATCTCAATGAAAGGAGAAATCTGTCGCACTCACACAAAAATCTTAATTAACTGAATTAAAATCTGACGTCAAATACCCAGACTAAAGCAAGTTTTCATTTCACCAGTGGTCAAGGGAAATATTTCCTTTTTTTTTTTTTCTTCACTTACGTATCTTCACGGGTTCCTAAGAACATGCTTTTATTTTTTTACTTTAATTGATTTTTTTTTTAAATTTTCACGTTTTTTTATTTATTTAAACATAATTTAGGGAAAGGGGCCCAGGAAAATTTTTTTGCATAAGGGCCCAGTTCTAGTTATGCTTTCTAGTTATTCACTGGCTTTGAGGTCCGGATTAGAGATCATTCCGGATAATGGACATCCGGAATAGAGACTTTGTACTGTATTATGAAATGTTTCAACCCTTGAATTTTTTTTATAAATTAAAAGATAGATTAAAAACCTGACAGGAAATCAAATGGCAACACCTTGCAGAACTAGTAATTTTCGATGTCACATGGATGATAAATATGATAAGGTGAAGCAAGAGGGATGACAAAGTGCTAAATTAATGTGACAAAATGTGAGAAAGAGAAAGGCTAGGTTTTCTCTTTTTCACATATAGGAAACCTAGCCTTCTCTTTTCACATTGGTTTCCAACATCTTAAAAAAAAAAAAAAAAAAAAAAAAGGAATATAATAATAAAGAAATAAAACTAATGAAGTCAATGTGTGTGAAAACTAACTATTTCAATGCTAAATTCTAGTTCTGTGTAGCAATTCGGGCATCTTAAGGCTTCTAGTGAAATAGAACTCAAAAGGTTTAAAATAAACCTTTTCCTTTAGTTTTTCAGTTTGAAAACTCCATACCTTGTGTAGTCAGCAAGTCACCACTTCTTGCAGAATTAATAGAACACTAAGGTTAAAGTAAAATTAAGCAATTAAAGTGCAAATTTTTACCATAAATTTTGGCTCAGGCCCTTTATTCATGTGAGAAAGCCAATTCAGGTAAAGCTTAAACTACATAAAAATAATTTAGAGGTGGTCAGAAGTTCCTGCTAAAAACTCTCTCTTAACTTCAAAATCTCTGATATTAGTATCAGGGAATACCAAAGTTTATGTTAGCAAAAGCCACATGCTAGAATTCAGGAAGGTTGATGGGGCACAACTAGAATTATTGAGAGCCGTGATTAGATACTGATGTTATTTTAGAGCAGCCCAACCAATTTTTGAACAGGGGGGGGGGAAATCTGAAAGCTTTCAAATTTTACATTACGCCCAAAGCACATATTTAGAATTTCTGATACTCAGTCTCGTGTGCTGGAGATACTTTTTTTTTTCCCCTTGTACAATTTTTCATCGCTTGCTTTGAAATTGTTGAGTGTGTTAGTAAAAAATTTGTTGAAGTAACACAAAATATGAAATCAATGAAACAAATTTCAAATTCCACATTAGGGCTTCCAGATGCCCATATTCAGAGGAAGATTACATTATTCAAAATTTGATGCTCTAGGTACTGTTGTTTTATCATAATGCGAGAAACATACATACATTTATGTAAATTACCGTATTTACGCAAATCTAATGCGCATCGTTTTCGGCCAAATGTAGTACTCAAAATTGGGGTGCGCATTAGATTCATGGAGCTTAGTTCGAGTGCAAGTTCGCGTTTACGTCACGTTCCCGATGACGTCACCAAATTTAAATCGTAACGATGGATTACTGTATTTCTCAACTACATTTACCGTTACATTATCGTTGACACATTATTGCATAGAGGATAAAACTGCAGAGTACGTAGTCACGGAGGAGAGAAGAAATATACGCTACTTTTTAAATTATTCTTTATCCTGAAGAAATGGCAATAGAAAGGCTGGGAGAGGGTTAAATGTAGCTGAGAGCAATGTTTGCTTGTGGCGGCAACAGAAATTGGCACGTTTGCAACTAAACTAGTAGAAAGAAATTCACTGGCCCTCGCAAAGGAAGACACCCTAAAATTGAAGAAAAGTTTTGGAATTTGTACGTGAAGGAGAAGAATGGACAACCTGTGACTACGACACTATAAGAACTAAAGCAAAAGAGGAGGCGAAGTTCTTGGAATACCGAAGAGTTTAAGGCTAGCCGTGGATGGGCTGGATCGGTTTATGAATCGGATGGGCTTATCTCTAAGACGCCGTAGAACACTATGCCAAAAGCTTCTTCCTGCAGATTTTGAGGGAAAACTACTTACATTTCAGCGGTATGTCATCACACTTCGAAAGAAAAAGAATTTTTAAATGGGGCAAATTGGCAACGCTGGCGAGACGCCAATTTGGTTTGATATGCCTCGTAACTACCCATTACGAGAAGGGGACTAAAAGTTATCATCAAAATAGTGAATAAGACGTTTACTATTAATCACTGATTGTAGAAACTGTTAGCTAGATAGAAATGTTACAATTTATTTCAGTTCATACTTACGATATGTACGTATATACGGTAGTGGTAATTAATAATGATTGTTTCAATAACAATAGCCCACTAAGAGGTTAATTCTATGTTCTGCTACTTTATTGCATAAATCCATGTGTACAAAATATGGTACTAAATTTAAATAAATTATCATACCATTGATGATAGTTTATATAAATCCATTGTTGTATAAATAAGATTCAATAATTCCTCATACCATTGATGCGGCATTACATTCGCCGACAAACAATTTTTTTATTATTTAAAGTTTTAAAATGGGGATGCGCATTAGATTCCCATAAATATGGTATTTAATTTCTTTAAATGTAACACAGGGCGATAATATTTGGTGGCGACAATTTGAAAAGTGAACTGACATTTACAGTGAACCAAAGAAAAATGCCAAAACAAAATTAATAGTTCTTCTGGGCTAAAAAACAAAAACAGAGAGCTTTCAGACTTTAAATTATGCCCAAAGGGGTGTTCTTTTAACGTTTTGTGTGTTACCTTTATTTATTAAATATCATGTTCTTCGCACATAAACAATAAAATTTAGTTCACCGGCAATATCGCAAAATAATTTTAAAATGAGCATATCTTTAGAATTTCCAATATACAGTCAGGTGCGTTGGAGATAAAAATGTTAATTTCAACAACACATATTCTAAAATTCTTCTTCATTACTTCCTTAAGTACGCATCCCATAGAATTTGCTTTGTAATAACTTTTAGCAGATTGCTTTCTAGTACAAACAATTCTTGCTTAAATAGTTTTATAAAGATATTTTTCAACATGATTTCAATTATGTTTACAACTCAATGTTAAGGTTAGTATAATTTTAGATAATATTTAATCACTAATTTAGATACATTTAATAACTCTTTCTTGACAGAAACTTTCACGATTATGAATAAATTTTTCATTCAGATACAGATAAATAATTTAATAAATATTTACGTATTTTGTTAAATGCAGATACATGCTTTTTGAAAGCATATGCATAAATACCCACATATATATTTAATATTTTTCATTTTCGGCATGTGCAAATCTTTAATTTCTGAGCATTCACTATGTGTTTGAATTATAAAATAAAAGTAGCGAATACTCTTTCAAGGATATTGAAAGATGTATACAATTTTAAAGATACTGTAAGGTATTTTTCATTTTTTAAGCACAACATTTTTACTAAAATCTATATTTTTACAGTTCATCAGCTTAGAATTTTATAAAACAAATTCATATTCAAAATTGCAGTTGTTAGTTATCCAAAAATAACCGTGATGTGATTTTTGGGTAAATATAACTAAACTATACAAATTGCTATAATCAATCAGACAATGAATGTTTCTTTTATGCAAAAGTGTCCCGTTTTTCGATTTGTATAGAACTTTCATGTGTCAAAATACTATCAGAGTGCTGTCAAGGGAGCTTCTGAATGTAAACAATTCAAAAACACCCCATCTAGAGACTGAAGCCTCGGAGCAGTTCTTCACTCGTAGTGCTGGGTTGGCCCCCTCCTTCCTTTCTTACCTCCATAATATAAACTGATTCCTATAAAATATGGCTATCATGATTCTTACAACAAATTATTGAAATTATTTTATTGCTGCACAGTAATTTAAAAAACAAAATAAGCTTTTTCAAAATAATTATGAAATTAATGACATATGAAGTGACTTTTTCCTCTGAATTCATTGCACAGCAAGCAATTAGAAATCATGCTTACAGAAAAATAAAACTCACTAGCATAAATCATTTATATGAAACAATTTTATTTTGATGAATATCATATGATTTTCTTATATACATTAAAATCACATTTCTTAACAAACATCCACAGTTTGCGGTTGAGGTTCAGCAGGTTTCTTTAACTTCAGAAACTCAAGACTTTGTTTATATAAATCCTTATCCACAACACTATACTGAGGACTGTAAGTCACAGTTGAGCTAGCTGTAAACTAAAATATTAAATTTAATTAAATTTTGAAAATAGAAGCTGTACAAAATATCATGTAACAAACACCATTCACTGCAATATTTTGAAAGATGGATAAGAATGATATACAAAATAAAGGAACATGTCATGTGCTACTTATACATATATAATTCATGTCACATACAAACAACTGAAAAAGTGGAAATACAAAGTTAGTGCACTACACCCACTTTTGTAAACATTTCGGACTAATATAAAATACAGCTCCATGATGTAAATGGAACAGCAAATGCAATGAATATATAAATGCATTGATAAACTGCAAAATAATTATCCCAATATCTTAAATGTGCCCATAGTGAAGACAGAACAACAAATGTAGCAATACACCTGTTGAATTTAATGATTTACATATATGCTAGAATACATATAATGCTAGAAATGTTAGACTTTCTGCAATAATACTACATGCAGGTTTTAACTCTGACATGATATGATAAAGAAACAGTTAAAAGAAACTGGCTGCAAATAGCTACCAAATTAAATCTGCAGCAATGTACAACACTAATAGATAAATGATGCATTTAGTAACTCAAAATTTGGGGCTGGCAAGAAACAAATTTATAATAGAATAATCATTTTATACCACTGGGTTGAAAAGTAAACAACATTAAGGTAATGAAGGAATATTATTGTTAATTGTATCACCATCATTTGATAAATCTTGCAGCTAGAATAGCAATCGATTGTTGTAGTCTTTCATGTTACAGTATAAATGCTAAAGGGTGCAGCATTGTTCTTAATACAGACACTTGCCTTGATGACAGAAAGAGCAAGCCTGGAACGCTAAATTTGTTGTAAAAAAATATGCATGATTCATTTAATATAATGGGCGTTTCCAAATTCAGAGGGATTATAGTAGGCATCAAGAGGATGAAAAATTATCATAGAACATTGGGTTGTGAACAACATTTAGTGAATGAAAAATCACAAAAACCAGACTTCTAGAGGATAGTGAGCCAGATGAAAAGCGGTCAAACAAATGCAATGATTAGAAACACTGTGGTCGGAAAGAAAAAAACCTTTTCACATGCAAATTTCCAGCATGTATGTGGAAAATAAAAGGAGCAGTCGAGAAGAAACCTTTTCATATGAAAATTTTCTATGTGTATGAGGAAAATAAAAGAAGCGAGCAAGTATTCTTTAGTGGGCACTCCAGAATTCGTAGGTGTTTAACTTCATTCGGAAACATGTCAGATTACACTAATGAAGAATATGCAGATATGCATCTGATTTATAGCAAGCAGTGGCAGCGGATGCTTGGCATAAAGCATAGACAAAAAGCAATATCTGAGGAGGTTTTTTTTTTTTTTCATACCACCTTCCTGTACATTTATCGATGGCTGAGGGAGATGGGATCCTTCCAAATAATGAGATGCAATGCAGGGGCTAAGGTGCAGTGTGTGCACACTTGAAACAGAAAACCAAGTATTGTAGTGGTTTGCTAGTTCCCCCATCAAATGATCGGTCGCAGCTGAATTGGGTATTTGTCATAAAATCAAGAGAAAGGTTCTGCATGCAGAAAACATGCACCCCTCCCACATGCAGAATGTTCAACTCCTAGGCAATGTCGACTACTCCCTTTGGGTAGAGTTCCCATGCTCGATGCTTGATGCCACACACAGAATAATTCACAATTTTTCGCTACTGTTTTATTCTCAGAGGAAGCCTGCTTTATGAAAGAAGGCATGGTCAACATGCACAATGTGCATATGTGAATGTCCGAAAATTCCTACAATGCGGTCTCATCGTCTGTCAATACAAGTTTGGTATTAACATCTAGGCAGGGATTCTCACAGATTATCTGTTGGGACCATACCTTCTGCCAAAATGTCTCAATGGCATAAACTAATTTGTTTTCCCACAGCACATCGTCCAAGATTTGATGCAAAGAATATCGGCCTCTGTGTGCCAAAACATATGGTTCATGCAGGATGGTGCACCAGCACATTTTGCAACTGTGGTGAGTAACCACCTTGAAGATACATATCCTGGTAGATAGTTTGTTAATTATGGAAAAGCATTCGAAGGCCACCTGCCTAACACGAGGAATGCCTTCACGAAGGACTTCCTAAGGGAAACTTGCTCGCACACATGTTACCCATGGGGAAAAGCACGAAAACAACCATAGAGACAGCCTGTTCATCAGGATTCGAACTGTGGATCGAGCTACCAGTATTCAGGGACTTTACCGCTCGGCCCCTAGAGGCGGACTGAATGCAGTGGATCTGTCACTTGGCCTCCTTGCTCCCTGAAACTCTGTTTCTTGGATTTCTTCTTCTGGGTCCACTTGAAAGTGATTGTCTATCAGACGGTTGGGATACAATAGAGGATCTGACAGCATGGATCATTGTTGCTTTAGGATACATCACTTTCATACTGAGTAAATATGAATGTGTGCAGCAATCCTTTGCCCTTCGGTGTTGGCTACGCAATGACTATCGCAGTAACAACTTGTAACAATTCCTATAAAGTCTCTTGCCATCTCCTTTCTGATGTTGAACTGAGATGCACTGTAAATTTGTTTTACGTCAAATAAATGTTTTTCTATTTACTATTGGCCCTTTTTCCCCCCATTCGACATCATACCCTTCATTATTTTTGCTATTTTGTTCCACTAAACATGATTTGGACCCTATGTTCTATGGCTATATTCCATCCTCTTGATGCCTACTATCACCCCTCTTGAATTTGTTGGTCAAATTCAGAAACACCCTATATACACTATATATAAATATATATATATATAGAGAGAGAGAGGGAAAAAATTGAAGAAATTTAATTAAATACAATTAATGTCCCGCAAATTGCTGTGAAGTTAATTAATTTATTCATATTATTCATAAAAGAATAAGACAGAATATATAACTCTGCTAAGCCATGCTGTATTTATTTATTTATTTATTTATTTAAAGTCTGTGCTTTCTTTATGTTAGACAACTTACCATTTATGGTAGATATATATATTCCTTTTATTCTACTATATGTAATAATTTAGAAGAGAAGACTTAGATACTTGCAAGCATGGCCAGTAAAACAATTCTTTTATTTCTTGACAAAACATTGGTTTTTGTTACAGGTGAACATTCTTGATGCATGACCAATAAACTAGCACAGTACATGCATCTGCTCTTGAAGAAAAGCAAACAGTGATTGTGATATGCTGAAGATGAAAACCCAATTCAGAATGTTTTGGTTCTGATTTAGCTTCATTTTGATTGGTTAATTTAAAGTTTCTGAAGTTATATTGGCTGATATTACATAACAATCTGCAGAAATCAATCATGCAGTTTAGAGAGATGAATTCAGGAAAATTTAATAAAATAAGGATTTTTAAGTACCAAGGTCAAAATTTCTTACATAATTATGCCTAATTTGAGTATTCTAATTTCGGGTAGATAAGCTGTGGCTTATACGTGTTTAAAAATTGAAATTTAGGTCGGCAGCGTATTTGAGGGAATTTTACTTTTCCTCTGTTTTTTAAAACTTTGCTATATCGTAAGTTATGCACAAGTGAAACGGTAAGAATTCGCTACAATATTCTAACTTCAGATTGCAATAAGGTCAAACTTGCCTAACTAAGGTAGGTGGCACTCTCTGTAAAGACACTGTAAAGCATGTACTTTCTACTAAACTCCATGGTTTTGCCCATGTTTTCCTAGGACTTTTTTTAATGGAAACAACTACGTTTACTTTCTAAGTGCTATGTTCATTCTTACAAGTTTTTACTGCTTTGTAGCTTGCTTTTTGCTTGCCTTGTCATTTGCGCTTTAAAAATATTATTATGGCTCAACGAAAAAGTTATACAGCTGCTTTTAAGCTTTCGGCGTCAAAGAAAGCAATCAAAATTAGAAATCGCGCTGTGGCTAATGAATTTCAAGTTAATGAGCAATACATTCGGCGGTGGAAGTCTGAACAAGAAGAATTAAAGAATGCCTAAGAATAAAAGATCTCGTCAAACTGGTGTCATAGCCTGGTCTGTTCTAGAAGACAATTTAGAGAAATGGACAATAAAGCAGAGAGAAAGTGGATTATCAGTATCAACAGTTAGAGTAAGCAAAGGTAATTTCTCGACACATGGGCATTAAAAATTTTGGAGGACGTACTTGGTGTTTCAGATTCATGAAGCGAAAGAAATTATCTGTCAGGACCAAAACAACAGTTGGACAAAAGCTTCCCGTGGACTGGCTTGGAAAAAAGATAGTTTTTTTGCACTACACATCTAAGAAAATTAAAGAACAAAATTTGAAAAGAGGGCAAATAATTAATATGGTCAAAGTGCCCGTTACTTCTGTCCTCCGAGCAGAAATGTTCATTCAATAAGTGAAAAAACTATTTCAGTGTTAACAACTGGGAATGAAAAGACTTCTTTTACTTGTGTTTTGGGTTGTGCCGAAAATGGAGAGAAGTTAACCCTTTTGATAATTTTCAAACGAAAAACAGTTCCAAAAGGAAAATTCTCTAAAGAAGTTATTATTTGCGCCAATGAAAGAAGTGATGTTTGGCTGAGAGAAATTTGTCGAAAAAGGAAAGGTGTTTTTTTCCAATCCTGGAGGACTTATCATTCTGGATTCAGTGCGATCCCATTTAGCGGATATGGTAAGATCTGAAGCAAAATGGCTGCAAAGTGGACTCCAGTCCTTCACAAATTTGGGACGAATGAGAAAAGCTCCGCATGAGGAGGCTGCCTTATGGATCAATAAAGCATGGTAATCAGTCCAAGCTGATACAATCGGCTTTCATTAACCCTCTATATATACGTATATATATGGCCTTGTCGCTAGAATATTTTTGTGATATCTGTAAGAAAGTATATACACATGCACATTAAAATATATCGAAGAAATTAAGGTAATAAATCAAAATAAAACAAATCCAAGTATGAAATACCAGGAGAGTTTTTACATTAAAATAAAAAATAACTTGTTCTCATAGTAGTTTTGGAAAATTTGCACTTTCTTA